ATGGCATAAGAAGAAGAGTTTGAATTCTATGGTTGAAAAGAAGTGGAAGAGATAACAAGTTCAGAAGAATTGGAGGTGAAGTAGAACCAACATGGCTGGAAAGTTCATTTTCCCGGTGAAATCTTATATTTTCCGGCAATTTTTTGTGTGTAGTTTAACATAGAGCAATTTCACGCGCTTGAATACTGTGTATATCTCACTATATATGCCATGTCAGCGAGTTGTGTCTAATAGGTACACTTTTTGCATAGTTCAAGTGTCCAATTAGAACAAGACATAGTATAGGTATCTTAATGAAAAATTCTGTCAAGTTTAAGGGCCTGCATATGTATTCAGCCTTTAATCTGCATGTATAAATATTTAAGCACAACGATATTTTGTTGGGCATCTTTGTTGATGTAATTGGAGAAGGGAAAGAAGACTTTTCACTGCTTGAATGCTCTGATGTCGAATTTCTTTTGAAAACATAGTCATTTTATTGTGTCACTTAGTATTGTTTAAGAATTTCAATTGTATTTCAGCTAATGCACTAGGATAGTCACTTTTTAACATGATATTTAATTTTTATCCAATATTTTTAACGATGAGCAAAAATAGTCACTACTCTATTAAAATTAATATGAAAAGACGTTTTTACCCTTTCTTTATGAGTATTGTGTAAATATTAAGGACATGATGTCCTTAACATTTATACTGCATACATGAAGTTAAGGACGTCATGTCCTTAACATTTACACTGCACATATGAAGTTAAGAACATGATATCCTGCGGAAGGTGCAAATACATGACACTTTGTTCTTAATATTTATACAGCATTCATGAAGTTAAGGACACCATGGACTTAATATTCACACAACACTCATAAAGTTAAGGACACTATGTCCTTAATATTTATACTACACACATGAAGTGAAGGACTCCATGTCCTTAACATTTACACTGCACATATGAAGTTAAGGACATGATGTCCTAAAGTTTAACAACGAAAGGTGCAAATACAGGACACTTTGTACTTAATATTTACACAACATTCATGAATTTAAAGACATCATGTTCTTAATATTTACACATCACTCATGTCTAGCACAGGGGTATTTTCGTCCGGGTAGATAAAAATTTATTAAACACTGACTAAAAAATAAATATATTTTAAACAGTAACTAAAGAATAAAGACATTTCTAATTAGTAGCTAATTATACACTTCTCCCGCAAATCTCAATAGTTGGGCCCGCGAGCGCGAGCCAACATTCATCTAGTACTATTAAACAATTGCTGGTAGTTACCAATACATGGGCGTGTGATAAGCAACGTCAGCAATGTTATAAAATTTTGTCATAGCGCATGCATTAAATAGATGCAGAGGGACCACCTTAGAAAAACTTCTGACCATTATTTTTATGGTAGCTCCAAATTAAATAACTGAGACTTGCGTAGTCCCAACTCTTTCTTTATTAGGGACATTCAGCATCCAATTTACATCTCTTATGAGTAAATTAGTAAATGAATGATTTGTATTAAATAAACCTACTTAAAAACTAAATTCAACCCAAGCACACGATGGGGTGGGAATCAGTCAAAAATGAATGCCCTCATTGCCTCTACTGACTACTTGGAGTTTCATGCTAGCAGCCAATAGAAGCTTTAAAATAATTTGAGCCGTGCGTTTGAAATACGACATTATTTGTCATTTCTTTTGTCCAAGCAACAACTAGCACTAAAATAACGTCTAGGACCAATACAGTGAAGTTGAATGGTAATGAAGAATGGCAACCGTTGAAAACTAAAGAGCAACTGTTCTTTTTTTTCTTCTTTCTTCTATTGGTTTTTCATTTGGTGTCTAGTATTTTTTTGGGGGCATAATTAATCCGAACCCATCGGAAAATCTTGAGGCAAAGCATTCTCTAATTGAAGTACTTATCAATCTTTGGTGATGTTCGATTGATTAGATTCTAGAAATAAAGTAATACTTATCAATTTTTGTTCGCTTAGTACTTTTAGATTATATTCATTTTTATTATGACTTATTAATTAGTAATATTTATTTTTATGTGAATTTATTATCTTTATTGTTGATTATTATAGTAAAATGCCATGACTCATCTCATATATTTTGTGTTATTTTCTTGGGTAATACTTTATATAGGTGTATCCTACTAAGACCAAAGAAATATTTGGAGCACAAATTATATATTTTGTGCTATGAAAATTTTATCAAAACAAACCCGAGAAAATTCAAAAGCTCGGAAAAAATCGAAATTGAAAAATTCGATTTTTGTTGGTTGGGTTTGATTTATAGATTTTAAAATACGATACAACTGGTTTGGTTTGATTTATAAATTTTAAAACCCGACACAACTGGTTTTGGTTTGGTAATTGAAAAACTCCAACCAACTTGACTTATGTACACTCCTCCTACATAGCACGATAGCAATAATTTTTTATTAATTTAAAGTTTTATATGGTACCAATTGGTGCCACAGTCTAGATGCAGTAATTATTGCTAGTATCATAGCAGGACTAGTATATTAGGTGCGGGTTCGAAAAACTCATAATTTTTTCTTAGATCATATATTTGTAGTCGAAAATCAATTAAATAGGTAGAAATATTTAATTATGAATCTAATAACCAAAACGAGCTATAAATTCGATGGTATATTTAGCACGTATAAATTTCAAATTCTAATTTTGTTTCCGTACTTGAAAAGTTGAAAGTGAAAGAAAACAAGCCATTCAGCAGCAGATCTGGGGCAGGCTTCCAGTGTAAAAAGCATGTGTTCTCAGTGTTACAACTTGAGACAGACAAGAGGAAAACAAAAAAAAAATTAGTAGGAGGGGAAACTTGCTCTCTGACCTTTGGGTGAGCACTTTGTGGTGAGCATTTTGTGTGCACTGAGTAAATCTCTCCATGTGTAATAGCCTGCAAATTACACAGGAAATGTAAACCGCACTAGGACTCAACCCAGAAGATATTCAAAGGGGATTCGATCCCACGTCATCCATATGAATTACCACCCTCCAAACAAAATTGTGATGGGCAAAATGTCAAAATTGTGGACTCAAATCCCGTACACATATTAGACATTTCAACTTGTTATTGTCTACGAAGATATTTTGCTATTTTGTGGTGTCTGAATAATTTACGTACATTTCAACTATTTTGTAAAGGATATTTTGTTGTCAGCGAATTTTCTTTTCTTTTCTTGGTTTTAACATGTGCTCTTTAGGTCTTAAGTTGGCTTGTTCAGAAAGAAGACCACATTCATCAAATGTGTTTAATGGCAAGTGGTCCTAATAAAGGAATTGAAAGAATGAATAAAAATTGAGTATACTCCACTCAATAAAAAAAGAGGAGACAAGGCTAAACAAACAACAACAACGTCATGAGTTAAGCTATATAAAACCTTACTTTTTCATTTAAGCCTAACTCATAATCAAATAAGTTAAAGGTCGACTATATGAATTCTCACTTGATCAATTTCCTAGGCTAAACAAATACCTTGAAATTTCGTAATAAAATATAGCAAGGGATCATGGCTCGTTTGAATTGACATATTAATTGCCATTAACGACTTTCACATGGTGTTCACATTTTTGTCTCTGTCCATATATAGCGTGCCTTCATCCCACAAAAGAAGAGACATCACAAATATACTAAGAAAGAGAAGCCACAATCAAGTCTATGGCTTTGTTCAATTTCTGGAGCTGCTTCTCAGAATCCAGCCGATTCGTCTGCAATGGTGATGTTTGTGTTGTGCGTGACCACAAGAAGGTCATCAAAAAGAAGAATAAGCACAACCTAAGCTTGAGGATCCCTTTCTCTCAGCTTTTTCCCCCCAAGTCTTGAAAAAGGACTAATCATTAAATTACTACTCCACCTCAAGATAGATCATTTATTTATAAAAATATCTGCATGAATAATGGCAAAGCCAATATCTCTCTCTCCCCCAGTTCTTGTACAACAGGATTCCTGGGTTGAAGGATGGCTTAGCACAGCAGCACAAGGATTTTGAATTTCTCATTGCTCAACCTTTCTGTGTAGAGAATTTTTAGTATTTATTATCTTTATTTTTATTTTGTATAATGTTGGCCTCAGATAAGCTTATACGAAGCAAAATGGACAGGGTATGTAGTTATAGATAGTCTTCCTTTCATATGTCCTCTCTCCGATTTTTGTATTTGAAATTTTGCGTCTTCAATCACCCAATGGTTTGTAATTTTCTTTGGTGAAATTTCTGACATTGAATAACTCTCCCAAGTTTAAATAACTACAGACCTGCTTTGACGTAGTCGGGTCAGGAAAGCATATGGTATTTTAAGTGATGTATTAAGTACGCACAAAATAACAAAACCTTGAGAGATCGTTTGAGTAGCAGACAAGTTAACGTAGAGATTACAATACAAAAATTATAGGAGTAATAAAGGGATTAATACTTCTTTTATTATCTGATGCACATGTATTTCTTGTGGATGCTTGATCCATGGTATTAAAAATGGAATAGTCTCAACTCTCAAAAATTTAAACTTAGATAAATTTTTGTTTTCAATCTTAATCTTGAAAATGGCCAGAAAAAGGCTTTGGGAGATGGACAATTCTGTCATTTTCAATGTTTATCCAGGTGTAGCTAATTAGCTAATTCGTGTATTTTTATCTCACTGAATGTGATATAAAATAATACAAAGATAATTGTGTAAGTATTAACTAAAATTAAAATTGTAAGCAGCGACCAAACAGACTAAAAACAATACAGATTCTTATACCGGGATTATTTTCCCTAATAATGGTAACCAAACATGTCCACGTTAGCACTCTTTTTTCTTATGGACAATATAGGGATGGATTCCTTTTAGCTCGAAGGAAATGGAAGAAACTGATGACTGGTATTGATTGATACAAACATAAGTATATACGAGGCAAGAAAAAATGCCACAAAACCTGCATTTTTTTGGAGCAAGTGCATGTGTGCACATTGCTGTCACATCTTTCACATAAAATGGAGATCCTTGAAATTCATCGATATTAGTATGATATAATTCCTCAAGCACTAGCAAAATTTATGACATTTGACAAAAAGAATATCAACTCCTTTCCATTTCACTGAATATATTACGCCATCACATGTAGATGACAACCCGCAGATCTAAGTAGGACAATGAGGTAGACCTACAATGATTGAAGTGAACAGCAAAAACTCCAAAAACTAGTCCCATCTTGCCCCAATTTACAATGAATCAAAAGCGTATCTATCAGTAAATCACCATATAGCAAACCCTGCTGGAAGGAACTACTATTATTACCGCAATATACTTCCTGCTTCAGCTATCTAATCGCAAGTCAGTGATTGACAAGAAACCAAGCGACCCACCGACTTGTGACCTGGACAGTGATCCCCTTGTTGTGCCTGCTGCCTATCCTAAACCTGAACTAGTTCTATTGCCTTTTCCTCCAACTGAAATATGATCATCAATACCTAGGAACATCCATAAAAATGAAGCAGCTGACTCCGATTGTTGAGTTGCTAGTTAGACATCTCACATAATGAGACCCGATCAGAGCCTTCAGCAATTATGGACAGATGCTAGTGACTTGCTGATGCAGTGGTGTGCCCTGAAACAAAAATTCAAACAAGCCCAGCCAGAGTATCAGAAAGCTCTTGTGTGGCTATGAACCATTAATAGGTTCAGACCTCCCATTTTTTCTACGAAGTTCCCAGTCTCATAATTGCAAGGCCAGGTCTGGCTGCTGAGAATCAACCAAAACAGTTGAAGATGACCGACCAGGAGACCCAGATGACTGAAAACTAATGTTTAGGTCAGGGGGGAGGGAATCCTGCTTCTGCCTTGGCTGTGCTGGTTGATTAAAACTCTGCCAAGGAGATTGCACCTGGAACCTAGACAAGTCAGCAGGTACTGATTGAGGGAAAATCATTGGGCGATTTTGGAATTGAGCTCCATTGCCCACTCTCACATGATGAGGCACGAAGGCATGAAGTGGAGTACTGTTTTTCTCAGCCTGAAAGTGCAATGCAGATGCAGGAAGTTCACTCCGAACTCGTGAAGTTTGTTGCTGGACATTGCGAGAAGGGTTATACAGTGAATCAGCAGAAATATGACTATTCTGCAGGTTTGCTGTTTCCACGCCTTGTCTGAAACCTCCTGCCCCAACTGACATCCATGCTCGGGCAGCAGTGGCAGCGGCATTTACTGAATCGTCTTTCCTCAAAGATTGAGTCACAGGGGAAATCAGAGAAGCATCAACACTGGACTGGCTCAAAGAATTCTGTTGATTTTGAGCCTTTTCGGCCATCATTCTCATCAATTTAACAGGGTCACTCAGGCCCTGCTCCTGTTCTTGGTGAAAGAAACCTGCAACTTTTCTCACAGTTGGAACGCTATCAGCAGTTAAATGCGCCATCGATGTAGTGCCTGAGTTGTTATTCACGGCTCTCCCATTGGGCAGTCCTCCAACAGCAGTTCCATTCATGGCCGGTTGCTTAAAAGGCCCAGACGGAAATGGGTTCCTCGGACTTGCCCCAGTAGACCTTGATCCAGGTATTTCAGCAGTACTGGTAACTTGACTCTTTCTGGTAATTTCAGAATTCCTTTGATTGGCTGAGGACGGAGAATTTAACTCAACCTGCTTCTGCAGCTTTTTATCAGGTTCAGTGAAATTCCTGGATTGTAAATCTGGATGCTGGTATCTGGGGCTAGCACAAACAGGAGGTTTCTTTCCAGAAGAAGAAAGAAAGGACGGCCTTCCTTCTACATTAACCTCCCTAGGAGATTGCTCCTTCGTAGGAATTAATATATTCAAGCCGCTCTCGGTGAGCTTACTGCTAGTTGAACCAAGATATGGTGATTTTCCTTCTAACGTCGGCCTTGAAAGAGGTTTATCTTTTGGAGCAACTGGGTCCTGAGATGCTTTCTCATTCTTTTGAGCTCCAAAAGAGTGTACAGACTTGGAGAAGAATGGAGGTTCCTTTATGGTATAGTTCTCCAGCACCAATACTGGGGTTGGAAGTGGCTCATATTCCCCAACCCACCCACGGCCAAACTTGAACCCAGAAGGTAATGCCTGTTCAATTTTCTGGGATGCAACTCGCCATGCAACAGGCCCAAGAGTTGCAGCAAATCGGGCAAGGCTCCTAGCATATGCATGATCAGTGTAAAGCCCAACCTAAACAGACACAGGAAAATTACATAAGGAAAACAATAACCAAATGGAAATAAAACTTATGTGATACGCACAGTGACCAGCTGCTTGCTTTCTTCCTCGAAAGTTGAAAATATGGATTCGGTGCAGGAAACTGGTTGCGTGGATATGTTGTAACTTGCACGGCGGTTCTCATCATGCACAATTGATTTCCTTCCAAGTCTGGATAGAGGACCCTTCCCTGCAACAAGTTAAGCGGAGAAATTTAAAGAGCAAGTAACACATGCAAAAGAACAAAAAGAAGGAAAAGGATGAAAGAGGAATATATCAGCTAGTTACACTTGATTAAGTCAAGCTCAAAATGTCAACAGCTAAAAGAGAAATGCAGGACATAAAGCAGGAGAGACCATGTAGCTAAGCAAATATGAACATCTTGATTCTGTTGAAAACCAATAAAAAATTCTGGAACCTGATAGTGGTTCTTCTGCCTTGTCTACATTGTGATCTATCAGTGAAAAATTTCCTTCAGCAAGCAACTCAACACCATAAGGTTTCTCTGGTACTCCAGGAAGGGAAGTGCTGTTATGATTTTGGTTATCTCCAGCTGTGGCGAGAGTGGCACCTGATGAGAAATCGGAGCCAACAGTTTCTTGGAACATTGGGAGCACCGGCTTCTTTATCTGCTTCCTGACAACAGACCCATATTTTGTCTTCTGGTCTACCTTGACATCCTTTTCGGAGCGGTCATAATTAAGTCTCAACTTCTCAAATTTCTTTGTAGCCAACTCTAGGATGGTACGTGCCTTGCCAAAATAGTTACACGATAAGCTTTATAGGTTCAAAATGGAAGGGTGACTAAGATGAGATTGCAAAAACTACCTGTTTATAGTAGATAGTATCTGGTGCATTGTACTGCATTGCGTTTGAACAAATGAGGAAAACATCACTCTGAAATGGAATAATTACAGTTTGATTATTCGGGGATATCAAGCTAATAGCAGTACCTACTGGATTTTGTGCTAGTAACATAGCTTAAAAACCTATAAAAGGAAACAGTGGCAATTATACTTAAATCAAAAAAAAAATGACAATTGGACTTCAACATCCTCATGGGTACGGTCACACACAGAAGACTAGCTTTATTTTTTGAGAAAGAGAAGACTAGCTTTATTTTTTGAGAAAGAGAAGACTAGCTTTATGACTTCTCATTTCATCAAAGAAAAGAAGAGAAAAGAATGAACACCAACTGAAGAAGTCCCTTGAACTCATGTCTCTTAAAGTGACACATTGTATCTCCCTGATAAGCGCTTATATCCAACAAAGTGACATTCTATATCCCTCTTTCTCCTTTTATTTTTCATGCCTAAAGGAGACAAAAGCAAAGTTATAATCTATATATCCTCGTCCTCCTTTAACAGAAGTTAAAAAGGTTTCTGTCTGACCTATAAAAGCAAACACCTTGAGATGGGCTCATTACTACATCAATATACTGCTTGAAGCATCCGAAATGGTAGATACGCAGTGTGACTAAGTAGAGCACGCACATTTATGCAATGGATGGCAAAACACCTAAAGCGGAAAAAGGCTTCAGACTACATAGAGGACACCATGATGATGTCAGCAATTCCTGCTTCCCTAACACTTGGTTTGAATTCTTTTATTTACCTAGTCTTCAAAGTTGAAGTACTCGAATTTCAGAATCTTTCCTCAACTTGCTGAGAATACCAACTGATTTTATTCTTTTTTTTTTTTGGGCAAAGGAAAAAAGAGATAAAACTGAATTAGGCATCCGATAACCAAAAACAGGCTCATGGGGATACACCAGTTAACCCCTTCCTGATTCTCTTCATCCCAAAAACAGAAAACCACAGGCTTCCATTACACAAAACTCATAAAGAGAAATAGATGCTTTATATCAGTAAAATCCAATATGCCTCCTCATAATAGAATAGAAGCCTAGAGGCCGAAGATAAAACGAGTTCGCAGTATGCAAGTATGACATCTTGCAAGATAAACTTTAGCTTGACATTAATATTCTTTAACAGTTTTCCTCTTTAATTCCTTTTTCCCAATTGAATAGTTTTCACTACAGAGATACAAGGACGAACTTCTCCACCCACCACGGTATAAGATCCATCTCGAGTAAACGCAACTGCACTCCTCTTTCATTTCCTTAGATTCAGTAAATCACCAGCACCAAACGCAACTGCACTCCTCTTTCATTTCCTTACATTCAGAAAATCACCAGTACCAAATAATATGTGTGTTTTTTGGGAGATGGAGCAATGTAGTGACCAAGCTAAAAACAGTTCAAATTTCAACCACCGAGGGTATCATGAACAGCCAAAGCTACACAGATTCTCAAAACCACTAGTGATGAATTGCACAGCGCCATAAAAACACAAAACTTCTAACTCTTCACAACCACATAAATTGAGCTATAAGTAGAATCAACAGGGCATAATCAACATCTTTCTCCTTGCTAAAAAAAAAAAACTAAAACCCCCTAGTTACAACCATGCAAAAGTAAAAACTGGAAACTTGTTTTTGCGATCTACAAGCAAAGACCCAAGCATAACAATATATCCAGAAGATAAATATACAATGCCGAGTTCAGAGTTCAGCCAATTGCTGCATGTCCAGTAATAAGAAGTGTAGAAGAAAACAATGCAATAAAAACGGTCAACTGAGGGACAAATGTGATTCTATAATGGCCGGTCAAAGACCAAAAACATATTAAGATAAAAAAGAAGAAAAGCTTCAAAATTGAAGGGAAGCTAAACCAGCTATTTTGGAGTGCCAGTGTCTTTGTTCGCTACCACTGGAATTCCGGAAGACGCAACAAAATACAGAAAACCAATGCACTTCCCTTCGTTCCAAGCACAAAAATAAGAAGAATACAGTGGTTTAGTTGAAGAGGTTCACCTCAAATTGCTCCAAAGTGGCATATGATCCATTTCCCAACTTGTTCCTGACAGTGGCAAAATCCATGGGATTCTCAATCACCTCATGGTAATCAGGAAGCTGCCCAGAAATCAAGAAAAAACTTAACAGATTCTCTTTAATTTTATTGTCATTCTTCCTAATAAGACTTCTGAACGGAAAACTAACCCTCCAAGAAACATACCTCTTCAGGATCAACAGGTTCCGCATAAACACCGTATATGTCTTTCCTGTCACAAGGAAATTAAAGAAACTAAACATTACAAAGGTTACTCGCTGAACGACCAGAAAAATTTCCATTTTCCTAACAATTTAACACCTACTTCTGTAGCTTGTCCAGAATCAGTTCCAATGTCTTCTTGTCTGGCAACGGGATTCCAGAAGGTGGTGCCGATGGTGTCCCTGCTCAACCACATTGTACATGTCAATAATGGGAATAAGGATCAAACATGAAATGTCTCCATTTCTGAAAAATCATAAACTATACCTGGAGGAGAGTCGACACCTTTTGCTTCTCCATTCCTTCCTCCAGCCTATCAAAATCCATCAGTAGACTTAAACCTCCATAAACATAATCTTAAAAATACTAAAGCAGAGAATCACACTACAATCAAGCAATTACACCTCAATCCAAATGAATCCTCTATACTTGTTCTGCTCTATAAGGGTCCATTTTTCTCAAGATTTTATTTCAAATATTTGAACTATACTTGGAGATTATTTCACAAGTGCTTGTTCTACAATCTGGTCGATTATTTCAACAACATACTTAGAAAACTTGAAAAACAGGTTTGAGGAGTATTTCAAGTGAAATAGCAATAATTTCCACTCACAAAACTGCAACTTCTTTTCCAACTAAAATTCATATCCAAACACAACTGCAACTTCCAAATACCCATTCCAACTCAACTTCAAATACTCTTTTTTTAAATTAAAAAAAATCAACAAAAGCATGTCCAAGCGCCTACTTTTCTCCTCAAAATATTAGACTGCAGAAATCCCGAAGCAAATTAAAAAAACTCGTGATTAAAACCAAACAACTAAACTTAAATGCAAAATTAGGACAAACGAAGGAAAAATGGCGTCTGCTAGACAGAGACAGAAACAAAGGAGACAGAGAGAAAAGGAGAGTATTGGTGTTTATGCTTTGCGTTTGGAGTAATAGAGAGAGAAAGAGTGAGGAGAGAGAGAAAGGTGGGAGCGTGAGCAGATTCTGTGGGGGTTAGTTTTTTGACAGTTGACCCGACAGTTATTTATCAATCCACCCTCCCCGACAAAGATTTACACACACATTGAGTGAGTGAGTGCCTATATGGAAAGAGAGAGAAACAAACAAGTGCGTGAGTGATTTACAAGTCTTCTGGTCCAATTACAAAAAATCTCAGTGAACTAAACTCAGCTGAGCTGGACTTTCTACTTTCTTCCCTCCTTTTCCTCTCAATTTTCAATCACGAACAACACTTCACAGTTCACACTTACCTCGTCATCATTATCAATTTCAATTTCATTTTCATTTTCAATTTCAATTTCATCATCATTCTCTTCTTCTTCGTCATCGTCGCCGTTAATTTTCCTCTTCTTAGAGGGCTTCCGTCCTTCGTCATCGTCGGAGGATGATGCCGACGTGGCAGGTCCTTGCCGAGTCCGACTCGGAGTTGACTCAGCAGCGCCGCCTTCATCACTCTGCTGCAGCTTGAGCAAGAGTTTCAGCTTCTTCTCCCTCCCTCTCTCATCCTCTTCGTCATCCAAAAAGTACTCGTCGTCGTCCAGGTAGTCGTCGATGCTTAAGGCGTACCTGACATTCCGACGCCGGCCGCTCCGCCGGAGTTCTCTCTCCTTCTTCGCTGATTCCGACGCCTCAATGGCGGCTTCGGCGTTCCGGCGGGCGAGATCTGCCTTTGATGGACGTCCTTTCTTCTTCGTTTTCACGATCTGCCCCATCTTTTTCGGGGTTCTTCCAATTTCTCTCTCTACAATTTCTCTCTCTCTCTCTCTACAAGTCTCTCTCTATATTCTCTCTCTTCTTTTACTCCATTACATTATTTCTCTGTGAGGGGAGTGCTTTGGCTTTTTTCGAGTCACTTTTGTGGTCCGAACCTGAGTCCAACCCTGAGGCTTAGGTGGGGTCTTTACCAAGGGATTTTCAAACCTTTAAAATTAACGTTGAAGTGTCCTTCTTTTCCCTTTGTGTATTGAACGCCGTTAGTGGCGGGGAATAACGGCGTTAGGTGCTGCCCGTTGCCCGTTGAGTTTGCGTGTCCAAAGGTGTGCCCCTGGTTACGTCAAATCATGCATACTTCTGATTGAGCGCGTGAATATCACCTTCCCGATTGGACCATATGCCAATCTTGTCATTTCGTGAACTCGCGTGAGTCTATTTAAAGTGAACAAATGCATTTTTGATTTCCTTATTTTATATTTGTGCTCAGCGTCCAGTTGTCCAAACCAAAATCCAGAATAAGGGAGCGCAACTATTTCACGCTCTTACAGAAGTTTGAATGGGATAATTGATGCCATCATTCCGCCCAGCCTCATTCATTGCACTTCGTTTATTTTGTAAAAACTTATGTAAAATTAAGATTATCTTGTTTAACAACATAATTAATAAAAGAGATGAGAGAAGATTCCAATTTGAACTCATGATATTGCAATACTGAGTATTGATCTTTTTAAGCTCAATTATAACTACATGTAGAGACTGTAAATTTAGATTGACTAAGAAGATTCCAATTTGAATTCAGGATATTGCAATATGAGTATTGATCTTTTTAAGCTCAATTTTAACTACATGTAGAGGCTGTAAATTTAGATTGACTAAGAAGATTCCAATTTGAATTCAGGATATTGCAATATGAGTATTGATCTTTTTAAGCTCAATTATAACTACATGTAGAGGCTGTAAATTTAGATTGACTAAGAAGATTCCAATTTGAATTCAGGATATTGCAATATGAGTATTGATCTTTTTAAGCTCAATTATAACTACATGTAGAGGCTGTAAATTTAGATTGACTAAGAAGATTCCAATTTGAATTCAGGATATTGCAATATGAGTATTGATCTTTTTAAGCTCAATTATAACTACATGTAGAGGCTGTAAATTTAGATTGACTAAGAAGATTCCAATTTGAATTCAGGATATTGCAATATGAGTATTGATCTTTTTAAGCTCAATTATAACTACATGTAGAGGCTGTAAATTTAGATTGACTAAGAAGATTCCAATTTGAATTCAGGATATTGCAATATGAGTATTGATCTTTTTAAGCTCAATTATAACTACATGTAGAGGCTGTAAATTTAGATTGACTAAGAAGATTCCAATTTGAATTCAGGATATTGCAATATGAGTATTGATCTTTTTAAGCTCAATTATAACTACATGTAGAGGCTGTAAATTTAGATTGACTAAGAAGATTCCAATTTGAATTCAGGATATTGCAATATGAGTATTGATCTTTTTAAGCTCAATTATAACTACATGTAGAGGCTGTAAATTTAGATTGACTAAGAAGATTCCAATTTGAATTCAGGATATTGCAATATGAGTATTGATCTTTTTAAGCTCAATTTTAACTACATGTAGAGGCTGTAAATTTAGATTGACTTCCTAAAATTTGGTTTAACTGTTACATAGACAAAGAAAGCAGTGGTTAAAGTAGTGTTATATATATATTAAATGTTGATTTTGTTTAGTTGCTTCGCATGTTTATTTTTCTTATATTTTGAATATCTTCAGTAATAATTTTGTTTCCATAGCTGCTAATGAATCTAACTTTATTATTAATCACGAAAGTGTAAACTTTCGATTTCACCAGTTCCATCCTTAGATCTTCTGTTTCTCTTACTATTGATGTTAGATTGGACATTGGTTAATCTTATGGGTTTAGCATTTGAGAGAAGGAAGTATGTCCCTCACTGAAAAATAAAAAAAGGTAGAGGTATTTTTAAATACTTCTTGTTTTATTTGATTTGAATAATTGGAGGGATATTTTGGAGGGAAACCAAGTGTGGCTATATTACTAAATACTCACCTATTATTTTCTTTATTCAAATTAGTCACCTATTAGTCAACAATAATCTCACTAATGAGGTCTGGGGAGGGTAGTGAGTACACAGACCTTACCCCTATCCCGAAGGAATAGAGAGACTGTTACCGAAAGACCCTCGGCTCAAAAAAATAAAAAGACAAAAGGACAAAAAGGAGACAATATTAGTATATCACAACAACAATCATATGATAAATAGAAACACCATGAAATCCAGAAGAAGGATGCAAAGCAAAGGGAGACAATATTAGTAAATATTAGTATCACCACAACAATCATAAGAACAATAGGAACACCATGAAATCTAGAAGAAAGATGCAAAGAAAAAGCGATAGTTAGTAAATAGGACATGCACTGAAAAGCGAAATAGTAAGCCACAACATTGCACACTAGCTATCTTAGACAAAAAAACCTACATGGCTAGTCCAACAATGGTATGAAGTAAGGCACGACTCCACTACCTCCTAACCTACAACCCTAATACTCGACCTCCACATCTTCCTATCTAGTGTCATGTCCTCGGAAACCTGCAGTCTCGCCATATCCTGCCTGATCACCTCTCCCCAATACTTTTTAGGCCGCTCTCTACCTCTTCTTGTGCCCTCCACAACCAGCTGCTCACACCTCCGTACCGGAACATCTAGGCTTCTCCTCTTAACATGTCCGAACCATCTAAGCCTCGCTTCCCGCATCTTGTCATCAATGGGAGCCACATGCACCTTCTCCCAAATATCATCATTCCTAATCTTATCTATCCTAGTGTGCCCGCAACATCCTTATTTCTGCTACTTTCATCTTCTGGATATGTGAATTTTTAACGGGCCAACACTCAGCCCCATACATCATGGCCGGTCTAACCACCGCTTTATAAAACTTACCTTTGAGTATCGGTGGCACTCTCTTGTCACACAGGACTCCAGATGCTAACCTCCACTTCATCCATCCTACCCCAATACGGTGTGTGACATCCTCGTCGATCTCCCCTCCCCCCGGATAACCGAACCAAGGTAGTAGCCCAAAATTAACTTAATTTTAGTCACCTATTATTTTCTTTATTCAAATTAAAATATTTTTATTAATCATTCAAAATGTTAACAGTTTTATTTTAAATTTTAATAAGGTGACTATTAGTTTTAAAATGTGGGATCCAACTCCTCTTCATTTCACAGTCTCTTCATTTCTCAAGTTCTTACTAGGATGGAAGACACATTGTATAGTTTAAAATTAATCCTGAAATTTAATTAACTAAAATAAGGTCTAATCATGGTTAGAAAAATAAATATTCAATATATTTGCTTCCAAAAATTTGGATAATCCCACAAATCTAGATACAGATATTTCATTACAAATATTTGAAAAGGTTCTCTCTGCTTCTTACTTCTTCTTTTTTTCAGTGGGTCGTTTTCTATTTTTCTTACTTTTTTCATGATCTCATAATATATTTTCTTTTATTCGATATTTTGGTTTCGGTTTATTCGATAGTTCCGTATAATTCGATATTAATTTTTCGGCTATTCGATATTTCTGTATGGTCCTCAGTATTGAGGTTTCGATATTTCACCGAAATACTAAATTATTTGATAGATGAGCAAAACACTAAGCATGTGATGAATACAGTTTTCTACTTTTCTTGACAAAACAAAGACTCGAATGTCTCCCTCTCCTCCAATAAACGGAACCTAATCCATGAACAACATATCCAATTACAAGGAGAAAATCTCAAGCTTTGAGAATTTTCTAACTGTTATTCCGAATTGTCACAGATTTTACATCTTAGGCTTCATATGTTTCATTCCTACGGCCAGGGTGTATACAGGGATCGGTATCAGCCGTACAATGGAGACCGAAGAAGTAGTGGATCTGGGCGAAGCCTAACCTCGGCAGAGTAGTGACGAGGTCAGGTCAGACCCTACTAAAAAATAAATAATGGCATGGTAAAATGTTTATCAATATAATAAGATAAAATGACAACGGAAATGAGTCAAGTAGTATGTTACCATTTAATTACACCAAATAATGGCAATTAATACCTCGTGAAAACAAAACAAAATTCTTTTCAACTTTAAGAAAATCACAACAATAATCAAAGGCAACTACGGCCATAAATCAATATCAACAAGGGCACTCCCGAGGTACCGCCTCGTAGTCCCAAATCATAAATAAATTCACAATATCTCATTTTCTTATATCACTGCATGAGCCTTCACAGTTTATTTTAAAGAAAATATTTTTTTCACGAAATAACATCCCGCGTTTTAGCCATCCTTATCACACTGCATGACTTTTAGTAGTTTCCCCTACTAACCACGCGTATCAAGCCACCCTTATCTCACCGCATACGTTTTAACACTCAAACCTTATACCACCGCATGTGTATCAATATCACAATATATCACAATTTGCACCTCAAGTGCCCAAATATTTCAATTTGCCAAAATAAAGCAACAACAATATTTTTTCATAATAAAGAGCTCACGGCTCATGCCAAAATAATTCAACAATAATATTTTAAAATTTTAATACGTTGCTTCGATACCAAATTAAATTTTCAAATAATTCATATTAATAATATTTAATTTAAAGAAAATCAACCTTCAAATAATGCACAGAATAAAAGAAATCAAGTTTCAACTAAATAGGTAAAACAATTAGCAGGAAAAGGTCAAGCAAATTTAAAGTATAAATATTTAAATAAATGATGAAGAATATAACAAGGTAAAATTATTTAATTAATATGCAACAACGATATACACAATTTAAAAACATAATCTTTTACATTTAGCCCGTGTACACACTCGTCACCTCATGTACACTACTTTCAACACATTTCAATTTATCACTTCAATACCAATCATAGGGAAAATTTTCCCCACACAAGGTTAGACAAGTCACTTATCTCGACTTGCTCCAATTTAATCACGTAGTATGCCTTTTCCTTTATTTTTCGACTCCGATCGACTCGTATTTAGTCATAATTAATTCGATACAGTCAACAAAA